CCCAGATCCAGGGTCGACAGGGAATTAAAGGCCAGGTTCCCGTCCGTGCTCTGGTTCTGGTGGTTGTGCTGCGTAAGTGAAGATCTCAGGACCTGGTGGGACGGAGCGGCAGTAGTTCACCATGCTCACAGCTCTCTGGGGTGGGAGTGTGAAGAGTCTGTTCTCTTTATGGTGTTATCTGGGATGACGGCTGGGACTCAGCGGGACTGGAGGGTCCGCTGCCAGAGGCTCTGCGAGCAGGTCTGCCCTGACCTTCTCTTCCCACACAGGTCGTTACAAAGCATTGAGTAGACTTCCCTGTGCTGCGCACTAAGTCCTTAGTAGTTTTCTGTTTTGAATACAGTAGTGTGTGTGTCAGTTCCTAGGATTTATTTTAACTGCATTCACCCATTTCACCCAGTTCACCCACCTCCACCTCTGGCAACTGGTAGTCTGTTCTCTGTGTTTGTGAGCTTGGGTTTTTGTTGTTCATCTTTAGATTCTACATGTAAGTGAGACCCCCTGGAGGAGGGCATGGCAACCCTCTCCAGTATGATTGCCTGCACAATCCCAGGAACAGAGGAGCCTGACAGGCCACAGTCCACGGGGCTGCAAAGAGTTGCACACAACCGTGCGACTTAGTATGCACGCACGTAAGTGAGATCGTACGTTTGTCTTTCCCTGACTTACTTCACTTAGCACGGTGTCCTGAAGATCCATCCATGTTACTGCAGTTGTCAGGATTTCCTTCTTGTTACAGCTGAAACATATTCCATTGCATATATTCACCACATCTTCTTTATCCACCCTTATTTCTTGAACACTTAGGTTGCTTCCATGTCCTGGCTATTGTATAGTGCTGCTAAGAGCATGGAGGTGCATGTATCCTTTTGAATTAGTGTTTTCATTGCCTTTGGATAAATGCCCAGAATTGGAATTCCTGGGTCATATGGTAGTCCTGTATTTAATTTTTTGAGGAACCTCCATACTATTTTCCATAGTACACCACTTTGTATTCCCATCGATGGTGAGTGAACTAGGGTTCCCTTTTCTCTATATCCTTGCCAACACTTGTTCTCTTATCTTTTTGATAATAGTTATAGTCATACTTAATGACTTTATGATTTCATTAAATGAATGGCTATATCATATTCTCAGCTATTTCTAGCTGAGACAACCATTTCAGACAACCATTTCGCCTTTTTGCGTTTCTTTTTCTTGGTGATGGTCTTAATCACTGCCTCCTGTACAGTGTCATGAACCTCTGTCCATAGTTGTTCAGGCAGTCTGTCTATCAGATTTAATGCCTTGAATCTATTAGTCACTTCCACTGTATAATCATAAGGGATTTGATTTAGGTCATACCTGAATGGTCTAGTGATTTTCCCTACTTTCTTCGATTCCAGGCTCAATTTGGCAATAAGGAGTTCATGATCTGAGCCACAGTCAGCTCCTGGTCTTGTTTTTGCTGACAGTATAGAGCTTCTCCATCTTTGGCTGCAAAGAATATAATCAATCTGATTTCGGTATTGACCATCTGGTGATGTCCATGTGTAGAGTCTTGTCTTGTGTTGTTGGAATAGGGTGTTTGCTATGACCAGTGCATTCTCTTGGCAAAACTCTGTTAGCCTTTGCCCTGTTTCATTCCATACTCTTCATTTCATTCTGAAATACCAAGGGAACATTTCATGCAAAGATGGGCACAATAAAGGGCAGAAATGGTATGGACCTAACAGCAGCAGACGATATTAAGAAGAGGTGACAGGAATACACAGAAGAACTATACAAAAAAAATCTTCATGACCCAGATAACCACAGTGGTGTGATCACTCACCTAGAGCCAGACATCCTGGAATGCAAAGTCAAGTGGGCCTTAGGAAGCATCACTATGAACAAAGCTAGTGGAGGTGATGGAATTCCAGTTGAATTATTTTAAATCCTAAAAGATGATGCTGTAAAAGTGCTTCACTCAATATGCCAGCAACTTTGGAAAACTCGGCAGTGGCCACAGGACTGAAAAAGATCAGTTTTCATTCCAATTCCAAAGAAAGGCAATGCCAAAGGATGTTCAAACTACTGCACAATTGCACTCATCTCACACGCTAACAAAGTAATGCTCAAAATCCTCCAAGCCAGGCTTTAATAGTATGTGAACTGTGAACTTCCAGATGTTCAAGCTGGATTTAGAAAAGGCAGAGGAACCAGAGATCAAATTGCCAACATCCCTTGGATCATCAAAAAAGCAAGAGTTCCAGAAAAGCATGTACTTCTGCTTTATTGACTATGCCAAAGCCTTTGACTGTGTGGATCACCACAAACTGTGGAAAATTCTGAAAGAGATGGGAATACCAGACCACCTTACCTGCCTCCTAAGAAATCTGTGTACAGGTCAAAAAGCAACAGTTAGAACTGGACATGGAACAACAGACTGGTTCCAAATAGAAAAAGGAGTATATTAAGGCTGTATGTTGTCACCGTGCTTATTTAACTTATATGCAGAGTACATCATGTGAAATGCTGGACTGGATGAAGCACAAACTGGAATCAAGATTGCTGGGAGAAATATCAATAACTTCGATATGCAGATGACACCACCCTTATGGCAGAAAGCAAAGAAGAACTAAAGAGCCTCTTGATTAAAGTGAAAGAAAAGAATGAAAACGTTGGCTTAAAACTCCAAATTCAGAAAACTTAAGATCATGGCATTTGGTCCCATCACTTCATGGCAAATAGATGGGGAAACAATGGAAACAGTGACAGACTTTATTTTTTTAGGTTCCAAAATCACTGCAGCCATGAAATTAGAAAACGCTCCTTGGAAGACCAACCTAGATGGCATGTTAAAAAGCAGAGACATTACTTTGCCAGCAAAGGTCTGTCTAGTCAAAGGTGTGGTTTTTCCAGTAGTCATGTATGAATATGAGAGTTGGACTATAAAGAAAGCTGAGTGCTGAAGAATTGATGCTTTTGAACTGTGGTGCTGGAGAGGACTCTTGAGAGTCCCTTGGACTGCAAGGAGATTCAACCAGCCTGTCCTAAAGGAAATCAGTCCTGAATATTCTTTGGAAGGACTGATGCTGAAGTTCCAATACTTTGGCCACCTGATGTGAAGAACTGACTTATTTGAAAAGACCTTGATGCTGGGAAAGATTGAAGGTGGGAGGAGAAGGGGAACGACAGAGAATGAGATGGTTGGATGGCATCACTGACTCAATGGACTTGAGTCTGAGCAAGCTCCGGGAGTTGGTGGTGGACAGGGAAGCCTGGCGTGCTGCAGTCATGAGGTCAAAAGAGTTGTACATGACCGAGTGAATGAACTGAGATGAACTGATATCGTACTTTATATGATAGTTCTCCAATTGTAAGATACTTTGATTTATACCATTTTTTAAATTATAAATAAGGCAGTCATTTGTGAAGATAGCTTTCTTGTGTGTATAATTATTTCCTGAGGATAATATTCAAAAGTAAGGTCACATGGTCCAAAAGTATAAAAATTTTTTTATATTTTTAGTGAATAGTGAATATATGCTGTGTGCTTAGTCGCCCAGTCATGTCTGACTCTTTGTGACACCATGGGCGTAGGCTTCTCTGTCCATTGAATATTCCAGGCAAGAATATACTGGAGTGGGTTGCTGTGCCCTCTCCAGGGGAATATTCCTTACTCAGGGATCAAACTCAGGTCTCCCGCACTGCAGGTGGATTTTTACCAGATCTGAGCCACCAGGGAAGCCCAAATAGTGAATAGTTCAGCTCTATTTTAAAATTCTCCCATTTCTTGCTTACTTGCCACTTTTTAGTTAGTTATTGCTTACCTTTTACTATCATAGTCTCTTCTGTTTGAACAAGGGCTGTGCTTTTATGCTTTCAACACCCCTTTGTTAACAATGGGAATTTCCTTTGGGGGGGTGTGATTTTGGACCCTGAGAGTTATCCAGTGAACATTTGTTATCCGTGCTGTGTACCTGAGGATGCAGTGAGAATGTGTCTGGGGTCACCCCTCACCTCGTCACCCACCTCATCCCCCCCTCCCCCCGCCCCCGCCAAGCTCACAGACTCGCCAGCCCTGGACTCCAGGGTGTGTGTGTTTGCTCTCTGTCTCTCCCAGCACCTGGCGGCACCTAGGGGCACCTGGTCCCTGAAGGTGAGAGGTATTGGGGGAGTGGCCACATGGGGCCCGCGTTGGGATGTGGACAGAGCATCAGCCACACGATTCTCTGTGAAGGTTTCTTTGTGAAGTAACTCTCTGATCGGGAGCTTCAAGTGGGTGTCACGGTCTCCTGTGTCAGTGGTCACCCCTGGTGAAATAGTTATAAGTGGTTCACAGTTACTCAAGTGTCTGCCACCCAGGAGGTAGCCCCGCTGGGTAGCCGATGTAGGGGAGATGAGTGAGGGCTGACCACAGAGTCAGCCACCTGCAGTTTCTCTGGGTCTCATTGACGTTTGGTGGAAGCGGTGGAACTGAGCCCTGGCATCTCATTTGTTCACGTGGTTCTTTGATTTCTGTGACTGGCTTATCCCCAAAGGCTGGACATACTGGTATCACAACGCCTGCCCCGGGACTTCCCTGGTGTCCAGTGGTTGGGACTTTGCCTTCCAATGCAGGGGGTGTGGGTTCGATCCCTGCTCAGGGAGCTAGGATCCAACATGCCTTGTCGCCAAAAAAACAAAGCAGAAGCAGTATTATAACATTCAAATTTCAATAAAGACTTTAAAAATGGTCCAGATACCCCCTGCTCCCACCCCCAAAAAGAACCTTAAAAAAAAAAAAAAAAAAGGCACGTGCACCATTGCACTCCAGGTCCCAAAATGTTACTCCAAATTAGGAGTTATATAGGATCATCTTCCCACTTAAGTTTAGTAGGGCTTATTATTTTAAAAGTGTGCGTTTTACTGTCTTCGTGAGCTATAGTGTTCTTACTGTGCTTTAAGATATAGGTTAAAAATTAATGTTGCATTAGTTGGAGTCCTTGAACGTTGCAAACTTAAATATTGACTTTTCCTCTTTCTCTCTCTTACAGCTGTTTGGGGCAACTTGGTTAACATGAGGTAATTGATTTTTAATAACTTGGCTGTTACTTTTGGGCTGAAATGACACACCAGTTACACACATACCTTGGCGTCACAGGCCAATTTGAGGACAGTGTAAAAGTGGAACTGAGCTCCTCACTGCTCACACACCCGTGTGTACCTCTCTCCTGGATGCTCCGGAGGATGCAGCTAGTGTTCAGGCAGCCCCAGGTCAGCCCAGATGAGAAGAGGGGTCTCTGGGCAGCAGTGGTGCCTCCTTGGTGTTCTCTGCACCCTCCTTCCTGGCTTTCAGGCTCCTGAGATGTAAATGGCATTTCTGGGTGGTTAGAGCGAGTGCTGGGGTGCCTTTCCTAAGCCTATTAGGGAAACCAAGATTGCCCACCGCCCCAGGAGCAGACCAGCGGATGCTGAGACCACCTTCCGTCACAGGGGAGGGGAGGCCCGAGGACCTTCCACTCTAAGTGGGCATCGTTTGTGCTGCTCAACAGAGAACGAGGGGCCCTTGTAAAAGTCGAATCCTGTGTCAACTGTTGCTTCTTAAAAAAGATCAGTCAAAGTAATAGGCATTCACTGTAACACCAGATTTGGTGCCATGAGTACGATTTCACATTTAAAGAGCAGCCCTCTCCACTTCGTACTTCTTGTGTGAGGGTAGAGAACAGCAGTCACATTGTGGTGACAGCGGGGGCTGCAGGGCTGTGGGGAGGGGAGCTCTGCCCCGCCTGCTCGGCTTGCCCAGTGGGGTTTGCAGGGCGGGTGGGGCTGCGGCGACCGACTCCTCCCCCTTGGCTGGTGTGTGTCTGCCAACAGAGGCCTCTGTGTGTGGCTGGAGGGCTGCTCAGGTCCCATTAAAGGAGCTCAGTCTTTTCAGTTGGAAAAATTCCACTTTGCCTTAAATCCCAGGACAGCCCAGCAGGAACTTGTGCTCCTGTAGGCACACTTCCTGCCTCTGATTTAAAATCGCACATTGGGCATCCCGGGAAAGTGATGCAATCTTAGTTTAGCAGAAACACCCCGGAGGTGGTTGTGATCCCTGGAGACCCACCCCCCCAGTTGTCTGGTCGCCTGGCCTCCCCTCAGGGGGTGGGGCTGGGCTCACTGCTTGGGAGGAGGCAGTGGTCTGCACTGGTGCTGCATGTTGGGGTGATTTGTTCAGAAGTAGGCCTCGCGGTCACAGAGCCTTTCAGTCTATCTCAGTCTTGCAGTGTTCTACTCAACAGGTCCATCCAGGAAAACGGGGAGCTGAGAATTGAGAGCAGGATTGAAGAGGTGAGTCTCCTCTCTGTTTTGTTCCCACCTGTCTGCTGTCTCTCCACTTAGTGCCTTTGTCTGTGCTGGTACCTTATTGTGGCGACATCATGCCAACCACGATCCACTACCTTATTTAAGAGGAGATTTGCTGTCTGTGAGGCTGTGGATGCACCTCTGTGTTAGCTTTGCCCGTTTATAATGGTGTGGCATGTTAAATTCTGCCCCACAGGCAAGATGGGTTCATGCTTTTATGTGACTTTTCAGGGGAGCCTTTCCAGGGTTCCAAAGAGAAAGGGCAGTGAGGATCTTTACCTGGATGGAGACAGGGGTCCGCCTCAGCTCACCTGAGCTGGTGTAGATGGGAACACGGCAGGACTCAGATGCCAGGACCCTGGGAGCTCTCAGGGCAGCGGGGACACGCAGGTTAGGGGGAGGGGGCCTTGATGAGAGCCGGGGTGTCTGGCCTGCTCCACACCTTCTGTTTAGAACAGTTGGTTGTGTTTTAGTCCAGCGTCTGTGAGGACAGACTGTTGTAACACGGACTTGGTGGGGGGTCGCTTACCGGGATTTGGAGCCATGTGCTGGTCGTTCTGGGCAGCCCCGGCCCTGACATGTGGGTGCAGTGGACGTGTGTGCTGGACTGATGGCAGGTGGCACACAGGCAGCTCCTGGCGGTTCTCTGTCTCATGTGAAGAGAGGCAGGGGTGGAGATTCACCTGCTTTTGTGAGCCCGCGCCACCTCGAACGAGGCCTGTGTGGTCTGGAAGGTGAATTTCCTCAGAGTTCAGATGTCTCTGGAGTCAGAGATCCCAGCATGCAGTTCAGCATCTTGGCTCTGGAATTGTGACTTAGGGGCTCTGACTTCATTTCAAGCTGGAGGTGGATCGTAGAAGTAATTGGAAATCCATTTTGTGTCATGTCCCATCCTCCTGGAACGTCAGAGTGGGTGGAAGTGCTGGAGGACTGTTTCTGCTTCAAAACTGATTCTGGTTATTTTTGTTTCAGATCATTGAACCACTAAGGGAGAAAATCAGAGATTTGGAAAAGAGGTACGTGTACCTGTTATTTGTGGTTTAATCTTTCTTGCCACCATTTTGTGCTAAACTTACACTGCCTATAACATTTCAGTGGATGGGATCCAGAAATCCTGCCTTTGACAGGACTGCCATAGTTTGAGCAATTTTAATTGAAGCTTTAAAATAAACAGTTTAAGAAGAAACCCACCACAAGTTTTAGGTTGGCGGAAAGAGAAAAAAATCTGCCCACCAGTGATCATTTTCACATTAACTTTTTTGAAAAGAAAGTGAATCATTTGGGTAACTTTTCTAAGACAGTGGCTTTGCACGCAGGATCTCTTGAAATATGAGAATTGCATGACTCCTTTTGGTACCACACGTATGACCGTCATCCTAACGAATTTTCTGGTGACTCGTTCCTATCAAACATGAGAGTCACCTGTGACTTGGGGCTGTTTCCCTGGTGACTTATCCTGAAGGGTTCTGTCCCCCAGGTAGTTGAGCCAGGCAGGTGGCATCTGACTGACCAGGTTACTGTTGGAGTTAGAAAGTCAGATGTGGATGTGACCTTGTGGTGGAAACCGACGGAGCTCTGTCTAGTTTCATGTTTCCTGACTTTTAGGAATGTCCATGCAACCATCCTGCTGCGTGGCAGCATAAGAACGTCCCCGGACGAAACATGAACTTATTACGTGGGGGCACTGGGCCCACAAGAAGAAAGGATACATTTGAGAGGTCAGGGCCAGTTTACACTGGGAGACTCAGGGATCAGTGCTGTCTCAGAAGCCTGGGTTGTGGACTCTATGGACCTTTTTCTTTTAAGAAAAGAGTACTGACCCCCTGGACCCTACTCCCTTAAATTATGATGTAACTGGGCATGCATGCTGGGCTTTGGAGGTTTGCAAATTTCCCCGAGTCGTTCTCATATGCAGGCAAGTTTGATTTCTTTTTTAAATTTTACTGAAATATAGTTGATCCACAGTGTTGTGACTCTGCAGTCTTTCTGTCTTCCTGATCACACACCCTAATAACTTGATTATGTGCTTGATTCCATCTCCCCATCTTTAAATATTCTTTGGACAGATAGCAGGTATTAAAGCTACTTAGGACTTCCCTTGTAGCTCAAATGATAAAGAATCCATCTACAGTGCAGAAGACCTGGGTTCAATCCCTGGGTCAGTAAGGTATCCTGGAGAAGGAAATGGCAACTCATTCCATTATTCTTGCCTGGGAAATCCCATGGCCAGAGGAGCCTGGTGGGCTACAGTCTGTGGGGTTGTAAAGAGTCAAACAAGGGCTGAGCGACTAACACTTTCACTTTCAATGCTAATTAAAATTCTAGGAATTTGCCTGGTGGTCCGGTGGTTAAAACTCTGAGCTTCCGCTGCAGAAGGCACGGGTTTGATCCCTGGTTGGAGAACTAAGATCCCACATGCTGTGCAGCACGGCCAAAAAAATAAAACCTTTGATTAAAAAAAAAAAATTCTTAAGTACTGAGGCTGTGCTAATAAACAGGAAGGTTCGAGTCTGAAATGGGGTAAATAATGACAGCAGGATTGATTTGGGGGTGAGGGATGGTCCATTATTACTGAATTCACAACTCCTCCTGTCTTCTCACTGCTTGTCACTCAGAAACGTAGCCTCTGGTGGGCGGCCTCCCACGTCTGCCATGTTGCCGCTGTGTCCCCAGGACAGGGCGTGGCCTGGAATAGGTGCCCAGGAGAAGGTGCTTGAATACACAGATGCGTGGCTGAGCCAGCACCTGAGCAGAGTTTTAAAGGGGCTCCAGGCTTAGAAGAAGCCCATGCCTTGCCCTTGCCCGGCCCACCCAGCATGGGGCTCCGGGCCTGGCCACCTTGGTCACCCAGCTCTGTCACTGTGGCCTGGGCGGGCCATTGCTTGGCTCCTGGAGCTCTGTGCCCTGGGTCCTCAGAGCAAGAAATGAGGGCTGTGAGATCATTTTTTCAAAGTTTAGTAGCAGTCACACATGTGGAGTCTGAAACTCAGTCGCTATACATGGAAGAGAAACAAGGCACGAAACCCAGCCAGTGTTGTGTTTTCGTGTTTGGTAAACCAGAGGCTTAGCACACACTCTTTGAAGCAGTTTTCTTTTAAGTGTATTTCCTGCAGGAAAATGTTTGCTGTTTCTGCCTGCTGTAAATTATTGTTTCTCAGTTGTGTCCGACTCTTTGTAACCCCATGGACTGTAGCCCGCCAGGCTTATCTGTCCATGGGATTCTCAGGCAAGAATACTGGAGTGGGTTGCTCTTTCCTCCTCTAGGGGATCTTCCAAGCCCAGGGATCGAACCCACATCTTCTGTGTGTCCTGCGTTGGCAGGATTGAAATTTGTTTACCACTGAGCCGCCAAGGAAGCCCCATGTATACATAGCGTATCTAATTTCATATTAAGTTTTCACTCAGGTACTGTTCTAAGCTCATCACTTGGATGAACGTCGATTTCAGCGTCCACATTTGGCACCCCACCCCCACCCCTGCCTTACCCTCTGTTCCTCCCGCCCCTTCTGTCCCAAGTGTAGCCCTGGTCCGCTCCTGGTGACACTGCCTATAAACGCTGCAGGGGATGAACCTCAATGGGTGAGGGAAGGGAGGCGTCAGGAGGACCTGGAGAAGGCGCAGACCGGCAGGCCTGGGAGGTGGGATGGCGCTGGGTCAGCTGTGCCTGAAGCTGCTGGGAGCTCAGACCCGGACTGGAGCAAGGGGTGTGGGGTCCTCGGAGAAGGGGGCCGGGTAGGTGTGAGGGTGCCCTGGCCAGTGCTGGGCTTGGCTTTGCTGTCCTCCCCGACTCCACTGCATCAGGCATTTGCGTGGCAGCCAGAGCTCAGCGGCCTGTGGGTTGCCTTGGCTTCATGGAGCAGGAAGCTGCCATGTGCCTGGAGCACCTGGGGGGTCTTTCTCCAGGGGTGAGAGTGGGGGTCACAGAACTAACTGTGAGTGTGGAATTCTCATCCACCCCCGGGCGTCTCCCACTTGCCTGCCTGTGTTTGGTGTCTGCAAAGGGAACTGACGTCCTGAGAGTCTGGAAGTGCTTGTGGGGGAAATCACGTGCCCTGTCAGAGGCCCCCCAGCTCCCAGCCCCGGTGTCAGTCCAAGGACCTGTCCTGCTCTGTCCAATTCCACCAGCACAGAGAAGATGTGTTCCATATCTTGGGTGTGCTGGGGAGGTGAAGGGGACGGAGGCTGGGCCCCCGCCCAGCATCTCTCCAATTAAAATAATGACTCCAGAGCTGGTCTCTCCACGTTTCTTTAAAGCACTTTTGTTTCTGACTGAGTCATTTTAAGGGGATATTTCAAATCTGTGTTTATCGACTCTCATTTGATACTTTCTGTGCTCTTTGTGCTGCACAGGTCCTGGGACATCCGTGTGGGTTGGGGGACCGGTGGTGCCTTCATGGGGTTGGGAGACATTGAAAGCTAAGACGAGACTCAAGACTGAATCAGATGGGCCCCGGTGGGTAGGAAGGGCTGATTGCCAGTCACTTTGTCCTGGGGCCTCTGGGCAGGCGAGGCTGGAATCGTGAAGCTGCCCAGTGAGGGGATAGGCAGGGGGAGTTGTGGTCAGCACCTTCCTCTCTTACTCTCAGCATCTCAGTGCCGTGTTATCTGGTTTGTGTTTAGCTCTGGCTGCCGATGCTTGGGTCATCCTTCGATTTTCCCCACCCAGGGATAACATCTCTTGTCACACCTGTTTGATCCTAGACAAGAAGCAGGTTCATCTTGAACTCAAGTTAGCCAGTGAGGGCTTGGTTCCTACAGCGCTCATTTGGAGAGGAGGGGGAGCTGACATTAGCAGTTCTCACATCCACATTTGTTGTGGGGCCAAATAGAGAAAATACACAGATGTTTTGACTTTTTCTTTTATAATCTCTTTTATAATCTCTTTATGCTCTACAGCTTCACCCAGAAATACCCGCCAGTAAAATTTTTATCAGAAAAGGACCGTAAAAGAATTTTGGTAAGTTTACACATCTGATTCATGTTTGTGGTATCAAGGAATTTGCTTTTTAAATGAAAGTGTAATTTGCAACCTGTAAAAGTTACCGGTACAGTGTATACAGTTCAGTGGTTTATGATTTGTTCACATCCTGACTCCAGAGAAACCCCACGCCCATCAGCAGTCATCTCCCAACCTATCCCCCTGTCCCCCGAGTCCTAGCAAACATGGGAATGACTTTCTGTCTCTGTGGATTTGCCTGTTTTGTGTATTTCAAATGTTGCAACATGTGGTCTTTTTCTTAAGCTGAGTAATGTTTCTGGGGTTCATCCATGCTATAGACACATCCAGTCTCCATCCCTTTTTCTGGCTGAATAGTATTCCATCGTGAGGCTGGGCCACGTTTTGGTTATCCAGACATCATTTGATGGGCATTTACTTTGAGGTTACTGTGAACATAAGTTATAAGGCTCTGTGGACATAGCTTTCTTGTTCCTCTAGGCATATATACACCTGGGAGAGGACTTACCGGGTTGTGTGGTGACCCTGTGTTTAACTTTTTGAAGAAATGTGAAATGGTTCCCAGAACAGTGGTCTTAAAAAACTTTTTCAGGTTCACAGACCACCTTGATGAATATGCCAGGGGCTTTTTCGGCTAGTGGTTGCCTTGTTAAACATGAACACAAATTCACCAGTGAAAGAACCCCAATGTGGGTATCGTGTAGGAAAGTGTGTCCCAGGAGGCTGGCACCTTTGCGTTTGAGCCAGTGCCAGCTGTGTTGAGATGTGATATACCCTGAGGTGTATATTTCGGTAGTTCTAGCATGTCCACAGTTATGCAGCCGTCACTGGCTTCAGAACATCTTGTCCCCAAAGACACCCCAACCCCATGAGCAGTCACTCCCCATTCTCCCAGCCCTGCCATCTGGAGGCACCCGTGGGGTTACTTTCTGTCTGTGGACATCTGTCAACTCTGGATGCTTCTACAGGTGGAATAATGCATTATTTGGCCTTTTGTGACTGACTGCTTTCACTTAGTGTTTTTAAGATTTATTCATGTTGCAGTGGGCTTCCAAGATGGCTCAGTTTTAAAGACTCCACCTGCCAATGCAGAAGACATAGGTTCAGTCCCCGAGTTGATTGCAAAGATTCCCCTGGAGAAGGAAATAGCAACCCACTCCAGTATTCTTGTCTCAGAAATCCCATGGATAGAGGAGCCTGGTGGGCTACAGTCCATGGGGCTGCAGCCCCAGAGTCAGACTCGACTGAGCACATGCACTGCCCACGTTGCAGTATTTATCTGTACCTCATATCTTTTTATTACAAGTAATATTGTATGGATAGGCCACACTTTATCCGTTTATCCTGTGAGTCACATGGCAGCTCTGTTTAACCTTTGGAGGAACTGCCAGACCTTTTCCTGCAGTGACTGCGCCGTTTCACATCCCATTACAAACTTCAGTGTGTGCAGGGTCCGATTTTTCCTTGTCCCTGCCAGCATTTGCCATTATATGTCTCCGTAGGTAGCCCTCCTTGTGGTGTCAGGTGGCGTCTAATTGTGTGTCTGTTTCAGATAATGTCTCTTCATTTATTTATAATGGCTCTCTGTGCAGCGCATGCGTTCTTAGTTTCCCACCCGGGAATCAAACCGGGGCCCCTGCATTGGGAGTGCAGTCTTAACCACCAGACCACCAGGGACGTCCCTCTCATTGTGGTTTTGATTTGAGATTCTCGGTGGCTGATGATGTTGAGCATCTTTTAGTGGGCCTGTTGGCCATTTCTTTTATTTCCATGAAGAAATGTCTTTTCAGACCCTTAGCCCATTTTAAAATTGGGTTCTTTTTCTTTTCATTTTTGTGTTTTAAGAGTTCTTTATCCTAGATACAAGTTTCTTATCAGATACACGATATGCAGATATCTTTTTTTTTTTTACCATTCTGTTTGTTGTCTTTTGTTGATGGTATTCTTTGAAGCGCAAAAGATTTAAATATTGATGAAGTTTATTTTTTCTTTTGTTCCTTGTGCTTTGGTGTCACATTGAAGCAGACATAGTCTAATCCAAGGTCACTGTTTTGCCATGTTTTTTCCTAAGAGTTTTATAGGTTTAGTTCTTACATTTAGATATTTTGTGTTCATTTTATATGTGGATTTAGATAAGGATCTCCCATCCTTTTGCATCTGACCGCCCAGTGGTCCAGTGCCCGTCAAATTGTCTTGCCACCCTTATAAAAATGAACTGACCATAAACCCAAATGTTTATTTCTGAACTCTCAATTCTATACATTGACTGATGTCTGTCTTTGTGCCAGGACCACACTGTCTTGATTATTATAGCTTTGTAGTAAGTTTTAAAACTGGGAATTGTGAGTTCTTCAACTTTGTTCTTCTTTTTCAAGATAGTTTTGACTGTTCTGGAGCCCTTACAGTTCCTCATGAATTCTAAGATCAGCCTGTCAGTTTCCACAAAGAAGCTGGCTGAGATTCTGATAGAGATGAATTGAATCTGTAGGTCAGTTTGGGGCATATAGCCATGTTAATGGTATTCCAGTTCTTGAACATGGGGTGTCTTTATATTTATTTAGGTCTTCATTACTTTCTTTTAATTTTTTCTTTTGTAGTTTTCAGAATATAAGTTTTGTACTTCCTTCATTGAATTTATTCTAAAGTGTCTTACCCTTTTTGATTCTAGTATAAATTGAATTGTCAATTTCATTTTTATATTGTGTATTCTCTTGTTGCTTTCCTGGTGGCTCAGTGGTGAAAAATCCACCTGTCATGCAGGGAACGTGGATTCCATTCCTGGGTCGGAAAAATCCCCTGGGAAAAGAAATGGCAGTTCACTCCAGTATTTTTGCATGGGAAAGCCCATGGACAGAGGAGCCTGGTGGGCTACAGTCCATTAGTTTACAAAGAGTCGGACACAATTTAGTGACTAAAGAAACCAAAAAAGAAATTCTCTTGATAAATAGAAACACAGTTGGTTTTTGTATTTTCTTAATGTCTTGCAGCCATGCTGAATTCACTGATGAGTTCTAATAGTTTTAAGTAGATTCCTTAGTATTTTCATGCGGGTCATGTTACCTGTAAATACAGGTGGTTTAGCTTCCACCTTTTAAATATAGATGCATTGTATTTCACTTTCTTGCCTAATTGTCCTTGCTGGAATCTCTTAACACTTGATGCTGAATAGAAGTGAGAGGAGCAGACCTCCTTGTCTTGTTCCTGATCTCAGGGGAGAGGTTTCAGCCTTTCACCATTGAATATGGTGTTACCTGTGGGTTTTTAGAGGTGCCTTTATCAGGCTAAGGAATTTCCCTTCTCTTCCTAGTTTATTCATTTTGCAACCCATTTTGCATACCCAGGATAAATCTCAGCTGATTACCATGTGTAATCATTTTTCATATCTTGCTGGATTTGATTTGCTAGTATTTTGAGAATTCCTATGTCTGTGTTTATAAGAGCTATTGGTCTGTAGCTTTCCTTTCTTGTGATGTCTTCCTAGTTTTTGTGTCAGAGTATAACGGCCTTGTATAATAAGTGGGGTAGTGTTTCTTCCTCTTCTACTTTTTGGGAAGACTTTGTGTAGATTTGATGTTAAATTGACCTTTGAACAACATGGGTTTGAGCTGCACTGGTGGATTTCTTTTCAGTGTATATGCACTACAGTACTTGACTTACCAGGTGGCTCAGGGGTAAAGAATCCGTCAGCCAGTGTAGGAGATGTGGGTTTGATTCCTGAGTCGGGAAGATCCCTTGGAGAAGGAAATGGCAACCCACTTCAGTATTCTTGCCTGGAAATGCCATGGACAGAGGAGCCTGGTGGGCTACAGTCCATGGGGTTGCAAAAGAGTTGGACACAACCTAGTGACTAAACAACAGATAAAAGACTGTAGCCCACCAGGCTCTTCTGTCCTTGGGATTTTCCAAGCAAGAATACTGGAGTGGGTTGCCATTTCCTTCTACAGGCTGCAGTCTACAGGCTGCTGTCTATGGGGGTCACAGAGTTGGACTTGACTTAGTGACTGAAAAACAACAACAGTACTTACTACATGGTCTGTGGTTAGTTGAATCTGCAGATGTGGAACCACAGATGTGGATGGCCCACTGTAAAGTTACCTTGGATTTTCCAGTGTGTGGTGGTTTGGCACCCTTGACTGTTCAGTTGTTTGAGGGTCAAATGTAATTCTTCTTTAAATGTTTGGTGAAGTTCACCAGAGAAGCCATCCTCACTTGGGCTTAATTCAATCTCTTGTTACAAATCTATGCAGTTTTCTGTTTCTTCTTGAGTTAGTTTTGGTAGTTTCTATTTTTCTAGGAATTCACTGCTTTGACTGCATACTCTTAAGTTTTGGCAGTGCTGTTTCTTCTTTGTCATTCATGTCAAAGTATTTTCTAATTTACCTTATAATTTACTGTTTGATCCATTAGCCTAAACACTTGTGGTTTCTCGGATTTGTCACCGAGGTCTAACTTCATTCCCTTTTACTCAGAGAACATGCTTTGTATGATTTGAATCCCTTTAAATTTATTGAGGCTTGTTTAGTGGCCTAGAATATGGTCTGTCCTGGAGAATATTTCCTGTTGTCTTAACTTATTGACCAGAGATGTATTAATATGTCTTTTGTTACCCAAATGGTATTGATCTGAGATGTATCAATATTCACTTATATAACAAATTATCTGACACAGGTGTTGGTTTCTACAAAGATCCCCTGGTCAATAATGTGTTAGAAGAACTGTGTGTTATACTGCTGTTGAATGGAGTGTTCCAGAGGTATCTGGTAGGTCCAGCTGGCTTGTTGTGCTTTTTGAGTGTTTATTTCCTTTATTTCTGCTGCGCAGTTCTGTGCAGTGTTGAGAATGAGATGTTGATGTTTCCGGTTATTCTTGGTGAATTCTCTGTTTCTCTCTTCAGTTCTTTCAGCTTTGCTTTACATATTTTGTATCTCTGTTGTTAGATGTGTAAATATTGATAGATTGACTCTCTTATCCTTACAAAAGGCCCCCTCTTTGTCTGTGAA